TTTTTCACGGTTAAACAGTTAAACGTAGGAACTGTGAGTTTAAAAAAAGAAATAAAACACCCTCAATCCATTTTCAGATCCATGCGATCAAAAAAAAATGTTAGTCGGCAGTACTACTTTTATTTCCTTCTTTCAACTGTCAAGCTTACGTCAATAGAAATTAAATTTGTTTTTGCCTGTTTTTTGACAAGCTGGAGGTAAGGGAACGCCAAGCTAGCGATTAAATTTGCCGCCATTTTAGTTGTATTTGGGACAGCTTGACGTGAAGACGTACATTTTTCTTTTATATATTTAAATTTAAATATGACCAGTGAAAGTATTTACAATGATTCATTTGATGATGAAGCCCAAAGTGATCCTCCAAAAAGAAAAGAAGATATTTTAAAAATACTCATATTCTTATGTTTAGGGTGGCACATAAGTAACGTTTTTTTTTCCTGATTTTATTTAATGTTGTCGTTTATTAAAATTTAGATAAAGTTTTAAAAATATGTTCACATTATGTTGAATATAATACCTTTCAAATGGTGCCCATTATTTGCTTCGTACTTGAAGTGTTTTTTCCAGAGCATTTCCGATAACTTTTCTAAGAATTTTAGGTCCCAGCGCCCTGACTTCTCAGTTATTCACTGTAAGCTGTTGCTTGGTTCTTGGCTTATTGGAATACACCTTAACATTTAGGTAACCTCAAAGAAAAAAAATCGGAAATTGTTAAATCGGGGGAACGCGGTGGCCAGTTAAAATCAGAAAAACGCGATATTATTTGATCACTAAAAATTTCGCGTAGGAGAGCGTACGAGCAGTAAGATCTATGGCTCCATCTTATTGGAACTACAATTCTGGATTGTTTTCTACCTCGGGCCTTAAAAAAAATTTAGTCATGCCCGGTATTGAATATCATTCACAATAACCGCAACTTGTTCGTAGTTTTCAAAAAATATGGTCCAATGATGTTTTCTGAAGTTATTCCACACCGTACTGTGTATCTAAGTAGGTGCACTTAATGTTCAACAATTATTCCTGGATTTTCGGTGCCCCATATTTTGCAATTTTGTTTATTCACGTGACCATTACGCTGAAAATGGGCCTCATCGCTCATTATGAGTTTGTGAATAAACTCGTGGTTTTCTAGGTACAATTCTCGCAAACGTTGAAAATATTGAATGCGACTTTATGCGTCATTTGTTTTAAACTCATAAACCAATTGAATCTTATATGGGAAAAGCTGTTAATTACGTAAAATTCTTTGCAAAGACCGCCTAGAAGACCAACTGCTGAGAACTTCGCCTTGTGGATGTTTCGAGGTTTTTCTCAAGACTTGCTAGCAATCGAGCAATGTTCACATCATTTCGAACTGCACGAGGTCTTCTAGTACACGGAAAATCACTGACAGTGCCATGTAAGTGCAAAGAACCGACAATAAATTGTCGTAAACGCTGCTACGCTTGATAGACGGATTGCTGATGGTACCAGAAATAAAAGGTATGGCCTTTTCGTTTAATGCGTTGTTTTTGTGTGATTAATACATAATCATCATTATCAGAGATATACGAAATGTGAAAAATATGGTGAGTCTATAGTCAACAAACATATAATATTCGTACGATTAGAGTTATTAGAGTCACTATTAGAGTTGGTGCTAGTAATTCATACCAAAATAAACTGCAACAACGATTCAGCTTTCCCGAGGGCATTTGTTGAAGTGGCACTCCAAATTAGCAGTATTTTATTTGCATTTGTTAATGAACCGACAGGCAGCAGCTTTAGTTTCCGTTTTGTTGCAGTTAGCATTTGTATAATTGGTTATCAATTAATAAAACGTACTCAAACTAACGGGGTAGTAGCGATGTACTAATATCCCATATCATCCCGAGCGTGTCGTAAGGGACGTCAGAGGGAAATAAAACAGGACATGAGCAGCAGCATCGCCCTGATAACAACTCAAAAATGTTATGCGTGGCAACTATGGAATCTATATAAAAATCTCCCTACGAGGGAAGTAAGGTGGAATTTTGATAGGTTGCAATGATGATGAATAAAATATTAATATATGATTACCTTTTACTTTTATATTCTCTTAAATTACAATTGTTTATTCCTAAATACTTAAGATCCTATATTTTTAGGGATAGTTTACATAGTTTTAGGTTATTGCATCGTCATCATCATCAATCAAAAAGTCCATTTGAATTAGGGATGAAACGATACATAATTGTACCGAAACGATACCGATACCGATTATTGTAATAAATAAGCGGCGTAACTATGTAGAAATAGAAAAAAAACAAATAAATAATGACTAATTTTCTTATTATGCATAAAAATTACCTTTATTTATCAGAGACTGAGCCTTGAGAAGGTTGAAAACCAAAATGTCAAGTAATTACAGTTAACTTTTGGTAGATTTTTGTGAAGTAAACAAAGTTTGTTTAAATTATTAGCAGATAATCTGTTACGCAAATCATTTTGAAAGAGACCTGCAATTGAAAACAGACACTCTGAGGTAACTGAGCTGAGCAAGAATGTCGCGCGCACGTTGTTCGTTTCGCGCGCTTCTCAAACTATTTATATCGGTTGTATATAATCGGCGACGCCGATATATCGGTCTGCCGATTATATCGGTATCGTAATCGTTACATCTCTAATTAGAATGCTAAAGATGTTATAAAGCCCGGTCCATATTCTCGACACGTACACCATAAAAACTCAAAAACAAGATTTTACAACCAGTGCCTTTTTTCAGAAATATCATACGAATCTTAGACGTAGTACTTCACTGCTGACCGTATGTAGAAGCTAAAGGTCACTTAGTGAGCTATGAACAGGGCTTTTGCAGCTTGCTTGAAGCGAACTTCCTCTAAGTTATCTATGCTCGAATTTTCTTTACTTAATAGAATCAGAAGCTAGGTTACCGGTGGTAGAACCAGAATAATCGACATTGCCCAATGGTTCAGTAAGCTGAAGTGACAATGAGCCAGCCATATATCTCGAAGAACCAACAAGTAATGGGAAAGGAAGGTTTTCGAATAGCAGCTATGTACCAGTTATCTAAGTAATAACAGTTAACAGGTGGTAAGTAATGCAGGAAGTCGATGGCGGTAAATGAAGTTATTGCATTAATTTTTACAAAATAAATATTCATTTAAAAATATTATTACGCAGTAAATAAATCGCTTATTAAATACAGGACCTTCCTTCTATCGATTATACAGAGTTTTATTCCGTTATGACCAAAGTCCTCCCTTTTAAAAGAACACGTTCAGGTTCTCTTCAATATCCTTGTGTTCACAAATTTTTAACATTAAAACAAGTTTTGAGTAACTGGTAAAAATGAAATGATTGATGCAAAATCCTGCTAGTAAATAAGATGTAATATATTTCCTAGTAAAATTCTCATAACTGTACTGTAATATTTACACACATATTCTCGGGCGCTGTCGTGGAGATAAAAACGTCACGTTGAAGACGTTTTCCCCAATATATTCATATACACGCTGTATTTGCCTAGGACATAGTTTCGCAGTCAACGACTGTTTTATGTGTCATACTTGTGAACAGCTACTGCTTGTGGGAATGGGCCTGCTCGAGTTTGCAACACACTTATGAGTTTTAAATGTACATTATTTTTTGTTTTTGTATCGATTCATTATAGAACATGATTTGATTACCTGGTGGGGCCAATTGCCCCGATTTTAATCCGGTGATTCTTTTTTCCGCACAACCAATTAACTATGGGTTTGCTCTTTTTCAATTTTGAATAAGATATTCTATATTTGACCTTTAAAAAATTACAAAGAAGAGATTTGGAAGCTGTAGTAGATTTAAAGCACGTTGACATTTGTCCAACAAAATTTTAAATTCTTTATCGAAACAAAATTTTAATTTCTTCTCATCATCTCACCAAATATAACACGTAATTTTTTGAGTATAACTTGGTTTTGAAGTACGTTTTGTGTTTTTGCAGTCTTTTATTAAACCACGATCTTAATCATCCTAATCATCTCATCACCTGTAACGTGACTAAACTATTTAACCAGCTTGTATTTCTGCGACGAAAAAGCAACTGCATTTAAAAGTCAACGCGTAACTGTCGAACCTATTCCTTTATTGTAAAAGTATACGGAACCACGCTCTCACAGAATACTAGCGTAAAATAGTAACTCAATGCTGCTGTATTTCGTACGGTGAGTGTAGAAATCGGGAGATCCTTTTTACGCATTTGGGTGATAACGCATCTCCGTTTTAAATCTTAATCAAGGCTAGATGTAGATGTATTTTGATTACAGTACCATCGCGTGGGCTGTGTTCTTGTTTCTCGCCTTTACTGTATTAAAAAACCCAGCGACTTAATTTTTATAACATTTCTGACGCAACTAGATATCGAGGTAAAGTATGTCTAAATACTCAGTAATAAATATTTTCTTTTTATTGAGTAATTATTTATTAAGGACAGCCAAGAAATCTTACACCAAAAACATTAAATTCTTAATTAAGCTATTATCTAAGATTTAAGCTAAGTGAAGATTCAATCAAAGGCTGCCACGACATATATTTGGATATTCTCCTTAACAAGCTAAAACAGTTATCGTCTTTTAATCATACAGAGAAATAAACACACCGAGTTTGGTTTTCGACCTTAACACATCTTCACTAAATGATTGACATATTCTCAGAAAAGATTCTGTATCCATTCCATTCCATCCATTTGAATACTTCTATTTTACTTTTTTAACACTTTAATATCCTTATAATAAAAAATTAATAATAAACATATTATAATCACGTATGAAAGAAATTTAAATCACAAACGTAGGTACTACTGATTAGATTAAACATCGCAAACTAGATTATTATAATTAACTAAGTTCATTAACAGAAAAATAATTTGATAAATTTAATTAATCGACACTTCACAACGACGTCCTATAGACGTGTATTATAAATGTTTTAGGATGTACTCTTAAAACAGATGCTTTTCTAAGTATATAAATAATAACAAAATGAATGCTACAACCGTGGATTATGAAGATTATGGAGATTATTACAATTCAGTGCCTGAAACAATCATTGGTGAAATCGGCGATTTAACAGACAATGAAATTAAATTCCTAGATGTGTTAGTGTGTGGTACAGTTCTAGCTTACATAGTGTTTGCGACTCTAGCTTTTATGCTTCGATCTTATAAAAAAAACGATATAGACAGTTATCTGCTAGTGGAACACATTATTTTTGGATTGTTGCATCAAAGTGTTATCACGATATCTTTTGTGTTTTTCAGTGCTAAAGAATTTCAAGAAGTGATTAAACATTTTGAAAATATTATAAAATTGATAATACCATTTTTCACATTATGTTTTTCGATAAAAGCTTTCTTAAATATATCTTTATCAAGAAATGTCTATACGGCAAAAGAATTGTCAGTATTTTGCTATTGTTCGGCTGCAATTATTCATTTGTATGAAGAACTGCTGATTTATGTATTAGGGGTTGCTACGATATATGAAGGTATAAAAGTACTCGAGGCTATAAGAATTACATCCGTAGCGTTAGTTATGTCGACATCGATGTTTATATTTTTTATCATATTATTTTACTTATTTAAACAGTCTTCGGAATTTCCCAAGGCAAATGCGATATTATTGCTTTTAAATATATTTTTGTTATTAATATTTGATTCGATTATTGTTGCATTTGCTATTGTATCAATAGGAAAAGATACAGTTTTAAAATTACTAATAGCTTTAGTTTTGTGTGGTCGGTTAATTTTTGAAACGTTGTGGGCTGCTATATTCAGTTATTGTAAAATAAAAATTGCACCTTAAATTTTATGTCACACATATCATTAAAATGTAAAACATTCCTTTTATGTAAAAAATGTAACTGAAAAAATCTTTTCTAATCTTGATAGGCTGAAAAATACCTCAAAACCTCAGAGTATATATAAAGAAGCTAGAACACTTAGGTTAATAAAGCCTTACATGCGTTTATAAAGGTAGATTAGTTTATTTTAGTTATTACGATAAGATAATGTCGTATGGAATCTTGCTTTGGGGTAATGCGACAATATTGTTTTGCAGAAGAGAGCTTTATGAGCAGTTTATTGTCTTTGTAAGAAGAAGTCTCTCAAAGAAAAGTTAAAGAAATACATTTTTATTTACTTTGGCCCTCAGAATATTATGTATCGTTTGTGGTCTATCAAATATGATGTAATGGCGTCCGTCCGTCTAGGATATGATCACAAACTGCAAATTGCCACCGTGACCATGGGTGCTGGAAAGCACCCAAAACGTCGGGTATAAAAATATATAGGGTAATATAATTAAACGCGATATAATCCGTTAAAATTATTCAATGTGTAGTTTTCGCTTAAATATGATTTATAAATCATTAAAATGTATTTTTAATCTATCATAAAGCGCGAAAACCACTTGATATACACTATCGTAAATTACATACAACGTATTACATAAAATTTAAAGCGATAATAGCCTAATGGCAGGGCGCGGACCGCGAACTCAAAAAGGTCGTGGGTTCGAATCCGTCATTCGACTACTGGCGTGAACCACTCGTAACACAAGCAATTTAAGCTTACCATGAGTGGTTAAGGGGAATATTAGTAATGTTTATAGCATTCTTAATATTCTTTAAAAAAATCAGTGGGAAGTACCTCATTTCCCGGGATTATAACAACCTTAATAAAAATATTGTAAAATTTTAATACAAACTGTAAAAAAAATTTTCTGAATCTTTATTGAAATATATATTGACATCGATTAACCTTTAGTTTTTTTAGCACCCTAGCTGAGCTAAAATAGTGAGTAATCTCAATTGCAAGGTATGTCTCTAAGAGTCAAGTCCAAAAATTAATTAATTTTCACCTAAACTCTGTTATGACTGTAATTGCTCAGATAAAACAATGATATCCTCTAGACCGACTTTCAGTCAGGCGGCCAAGTCATCTGCGCAAGACGGGATTATATTGCCCAAGTGTATGCGCAAGCACAAATGCACTTTCTATTCTCTCACATTCATAGTTAGATGGGACGGTAACCGACACGACCGAAGAGATATCAGACGCAAGACTTATAGCTTTAAGTGCTTTCCGAGGTACAGAGAAAAACACTGTAAAGTTTAGAGAATTTCTTGACAGAAAAATCCTAATAACTGTTTTTGGCCAGATCCAGGTTTTGAACTCAACGAGGCAGGCAGATAAAATAATAACAACATATGAAATACATGCCTTGCTGAACAGTAGTAAAAACACAACCACATATTTCAGAATGACTTATTATAGTTGCGCGAACACTACCACAATTTAAAAAAACACACATATATATTTCAGAATGTCAGGACGAGGGAATCTGGATAAAGCTCAAAGTATGGATCAACCAATGAAATCGTTCCATTTCGTTTTTTCGTTTTACACCAAGTTGAATTATACAGGAAGGAAGATAGGTAATAAGCAATTTCTGGCATTTACATACATAAATTGCACATGGCATACATTAATTATGTCTGTAACATTTATAGACTGTCCAGGTTTGTCAGCCCTACAAACATTAGTGCAGTACCATGGTGCTGTGGCCACAAGGAAATGCTAAGTGATATTATCTGAAAATGTTATGCACATACTGAAGTTTCTGGTCTGGTTTCATTCGGGGTCTACCAATGGGCACGCATACCTAGAGGAGGCTATAAGGGCAAAAGGCTTCCCAATTAAATACGTCAAGGCAATACCACCACGTAGGGGCAGACCTGGATGCCTCTACTTTGCCCAACTTGACCACCTGAGCCTGGAGCAGCTCCAGGATCTCTACAAAACCGACGAACTCCTCTACATGAGAGGGGTCGTCATCAAGGCCTGGCAGAGGAAAGCAGGACCAGCACAATGCCACCGCTGCCAGGCTTTCGGGCACGCCTCAGCCAACTGCTTCAGGCCAGTGAAGTGTGTGCGCTGTGCCGGGGAGCACATAGCAAGCCTTTGCCTTCGGGGTAGAGAAGAGGAACCCAAGTGTGCCAACTACCGTAACAGCGAAGGGTAGGCAACGAGCCCCCCCCCCCCACCCGCAATACCTATGAAAACGGTGGAATCCACAGAAGTAAGGGCAACCACCGGGGCGAGTCTTCAGCCCCCCGCTAATGCCGCCACAGAGCGGCAGACCTTCAGAAGGAGGAAGCGGACGACGAGAAAGCCGTGACCTATCTTGGGTACCGGATTGACAGGACGCTGCGCATGACCGCGCACGTCGACTTCGTCGTCCGTAGAGTCAGATGTGCGCGGGCGACGCTCTTGCCAGTCCTGGCATCCAAGCTGCCAACTAAAACCAAGCTCCGCATATACAAGATGTATATCCGGACCATCATCACCCACGCTGCTCCGGCCTGGTACGCACTTTTGAGCGACCCTCTTTTTTTTTTTTTTTTTTGCGGATGGAAAATCATCTAATGACCCCTTTCGCTCTGGGTGGAGCGTAAGGGAGTGTCAGACTTTTACTGACTAAAAACCATCCGTGTTCCTTCAGTGCCCTTACGTTCCGGAAGCGGCGATTGCAGGTCCAGCAGAACCTGTCATTAAGGACGATCGTCGGAGCAGGTCGCTACGTCCGGAACGACGTCATAGCGGCCGATCTGAAAGTAGAGACCATCACATACTTCGTGGCCCGGCTGGCGCGCGGCATGTTCGACCGCGCCGACAACGGGCCACACGAATACCTCAACGTCTTCGCGCCGTTGTACACACGGCCCCCGGACGGGCGACCTGTTCCAAGAGAACTCCTCTCTATATCAATTAGAGAGTCGAGTAACAACCCACAATGCCGCTGATAGGCCAACCTTGACTTTTTTTACCTGACAACCTCCATTTTCCGTAGTTAACCGACCACGGGAAATTTTTTCTCTTACTTCGAATTAATCCGCCATGATTTACCATGCCTAGAAAAGGCTCCCAGGACTGGCCCATAGTCGTGGGCCATGAGGAAGATCCGGGCAATGGGGGCATACCCCGAGGCCCGAGACCTGCATGGCATACCCATGTCATGTAGACGACAACTCACAAGAGACCCCTTTAACGTGGCAACGAGGCATTCCATCTTAGTCTTCACGGGTGACAACGCATCTGAGTTTTGATTCGTAATCGAGGATAGATGAAGATGTCCATGGGCCAAAGCAACATTTACCACCAGGTGGACTGTATGCTCGTTTGTCACCCTATCCTATAAAAAAAGGCTTTGTTTTATTAAAATCAGTTCATCCTTTCAAAAGTTATGATTAATATTCTGAAGAATGGGTACGAAGTATAAATACGAATTTGTTCAATGGTGGCGTTGAATTTTTGTAATTAAATAATGTAAAATAGTGTTCTATTATGATATAATTGTAGCTAAATATTTATAAAAAATATAATTGTTGTTTTTGGTTTTCATAATGATTTCTTAAATTTACGCGAACACTACACATTGAATAAAACTAAATTTACGGATTCTATCGCGTTTATTTAACTGATTTTACTTATTTTTAATTCCCGACGTTTCGGGTGCTTTACAGCACCCATGGTCACGGGGGGGGGGGGGCTGAGATGTTTGACGTCCCAATGTCATTATTAGCCCGACTACCTTCAGTTTTTGACTATTAATTTTTGGTCCGATTTACGCAAAACGAACTTACAGTATCTTGAAGTCTTGCAGTGGTATGCTTGGGTTTGGGTTTAATTTTGTTAATTATAGGATCCCAAGCAGATGGCAGCACCCAACCATCTTCTCTATTGAAATTAGGATGTTTTTTAATTTCAATAGCCTCGCGTATCATCCTTGGTAGGAATCGGTGTTCTTTTGCTAGGATTTGTGGTTTATCAAATCTGATGGTGGGGACGATTTTGAACATGTTCACAGACTGCAGACTTCCCGGAGCGTCGTTGCTTCACGTCAGAACATATAGCTGTATATTTTTTTTCTTTTTTATTATTATTATTGAATTAGTTTGTAGTTTTTTTTTTGTTTTATTTTTTGTTTGTAATAATAACATGTCTTTAGGTGAGAGTGATCATGATCGAAGTTTCTCATACTTCTCTTCAGCATACGATGTATTGAGTAGTAACGACAGTTTTGTAAGCGTACCACCTTTAAAAGTAACTCTTGACTCCCATTTTATACAGTTTTTCAAAAATTTCAATATTGTGCATATAAATGCACAGAGTATTCCGGCTCATTACCCCGATATGCTGGCCAGCTTTGATGATAATAACATTCATGCAATTTTAGTTTCAGAATCATGGTTAAAACCAAGTCTGCCATCTATTTCCTATTCCCTTCCAGGATTCCACTTAATACGCAACGACCGGACTGTTCGGGGCGGTGGTGGTGTTGCTTTTTACCTTCGTTCTTATATTCCATTTTCTATTGTTCGTCTATCAAATCAATCTCAAAATCAGAACGAAGCGGAATACTTATTTATTGAAGTTCACCTGTCGCACACTAAATTACTTCTTGGTGTTTTTTACAGCCTACTTCTTCAGTTGACTATTTTACAACTTTGGATAGCCTTCTTGAAGAGCTTACTCCAATTTCCACACACACTGTGCTAATGGGTGACTTTAATACCTGCCTACTTAAAGAAAATGCCCGCTCCCGTCGGCTTAAATCTCTGGTTGAAGCTGCTAATTTAAATATTCTTCCCCTTTCTGAAACTCATTTTTTTCCTAACTGCATCCCTTCTCTTCTTGATTTGGTTATTGTTCCTTCTCTCGACCATGTTGAAAAATATGGTCAATGTGCTGCTAATGCCCTCTCATATCACGATCTTCTACTTCTTTCTTATAAAATAAGACCACCTAAAGCAAAATCAAGGATACTTCTGATGCGTAATTTTGTGGAAATGGATTTGGACAAAATACGAGAAGATGCTGTGAATACGGATTGGAGGGCTGTAACAAACGCTTGTACTGTTGACGAGCAGGAAGCAGTATTTAACTCGCTCCTTATTAAGATTTACGATGTACATGCTCCGGTTCGTCCAGTTCGTGTACGCCATCCTCCAGCTCCATGGTTAACCGAAGACCTTAAGAAACTTATAGCGAAAAAGAATGCTGCAAAGACCAGACACAAGTCGGATCCTACAAATGAAATGATTCGGGAAAAGTACAGGATCCTACGTAATCAATGCAACAAGATGTGTAGAGACTTACGACGACGTCATATCCATAAATCTGTTCAAAACGAAGATCCAAGCCATGTTTGGAAATTCCTAAGGTCTCTTGGAGTTGGGAAATTACATTCAAGCTCGATTCAAAATGATATAGATTTAAATTTGCTTAATCAGCACTTTTCTTCTGCTTCTTGCACCGATAATGTTGCAAAGTCATCTACAACTCAACTTTTAACGTTACCCACTCCTGACTATCCTCCATTTGTATTTAGGCAATTTGCACATTGTGATGTTAGGAGAAACATACTCTCGGAAGTGATGATATCAGTCGTAAAATGATTACTCCCTTACTTGATATTATTCCCTTACTTGATATATTAACACCTATTATTACCTTTATCCTAAATTTTTCTATATCCACATACTCCTTCCCTTTCCAAAGGAAATTTTCCCAAATCATTCCTTTGCCCAAAAAAAAGCTAATACTTCGAGTTATTCCAAGTATCGTCCCATTTCAATTCTTCCTTTTCTTTTCAAAGTCCTAGAACGTCTTGTCCAACAACAATTAAATTCATTTTGCACAAGAAATTATATCTTCAATTCAAATCAATCCGGAAATAGGCCGGGACACAGTATGACTACAGCATTATTAAAAATCACTGACTACATACGTTTCGGAATGGATAACCACGAAGTCACAGTGATGGTGTTGCTGGATTTCAGCAATATCTTCAATGATGTAAATCATGATAAACTTGGTGTACTGCGTTCTCTTAACATATCTCCAACTGCAATTGCCTGGTTTCGTAGTTTCTTATATGGACGTCGCCAACGTGTTCAGGTACAAGACGGAATGTCTTCGTGGCTTGATACAATTGCTGGCGTTCCACAAGGTGGCGTGTTATCTCCTCTCTTATTTGTACTCTTCATAAATTCTATTACTTCCAGAATATCTTCTCTCTACCACTTGTATGCTGATAATCTCCAGATATATCTACAAACAACTGTAGAGGATCTGCCAATAGCTATTTGTGATATAAACAGGGACCTAGCGTGTATTCTTGACTGGAGTCGATCTTATGGATTAACTGTTAATACGATAAAATCCCAAGCTATTATTATTGGTAGTTCAAGAATAATCTCCAAATTAAATAAAACTCAGTTAAACCCTATAACATTTAAAGGTGTTCAAATTTATTATAAGGATGTAGTGAAAAACTTGGGAATCTTGATATATTCTAACCTTTCTTGGTCTCCTCAAATCAACGCAGTGTCTCGTAAAATGTATTCAGCTTATGGTTTACTCCGAAGAATGAATTACTTCTTACCCATCTCCACCAAAATTATGCTTGCCCAATCTTTACTGCTCCCCATTCTCGATTATGCTTACATAAGCTATCTAGACATTACCGAAGAGCAACTTAACAAACTTGAGCGACTCCAAAATCTATGTATAAGGTTC